GCTCCCAGGCAGCCCAGCTCTGCCCTGGCTCCTCTGTCCTGCTGTGGATGAGTCATGTACAGGGCTGGAAAGGAAATAAATGCAAACACATGGCACTCAAAATGGCTTTCACAGAAAACATAGGGCTGGAGCTGCTATAGGTGTGCAGCATGGAGCTGGTCGTGTGTGGGACAGGCACCCCTCAGTGTGCAGCAACGTGCAGCCGTCTGCCATGGCACGAGGAGCTGCAAACATTTCCTGACTTGCTGAAGCTGTTTGCCAGGATTGGGCTAAATACCTCATTTCTTCATAGCTGGGCTTCAAACACTTGATTTACACAGTCCTGTTTGACATGATAAAGACTGGAATATGGAAAAAGGGGCAGTAGAGCAAAGGAAAAATACAGCAACCCTGGCCTTAGCAGGAGCGCAGGGAGGTGAGAGAAAAAATCTAGCTGGAAAGAATATATCCAACTACTACTTCTAGTATTCAATGCTAGTACACACTTAAAAATACAGGTTACAAATTCAAATCTGGAAACATCATACACTTATCGCATGCCACTTTCACTTCACTTCCTTATACAAGGATGTTTTAATAGTTTTTATTTGCACTATCTCACCTTTCCATAGCACTGCCTTGCAAAGCAAGCTGGCAGCTGAGAGATTAACCTGTTCCCTGCCACAGAAGCACTGTTTCCTTTGCTTTTGAAGAAGACTTTAAGCCAAGCCTGGTCCTGCTTCTCCTCAAGAAGTATCCCTGCAGCTGGTACTGCAGCTTCGTAAGAAGTCATAACTGTTTTTCTTTGAGCATGGGCAACATAATGAATTTTACCAGACTCCTCTACCAGCTATGTGTTCTTGAGCCTTATTCCTTTTATCATGTAGGAAAGTTCCATTAACAAAGAAGATGCCCTGTTTTAATAACACAATGCGTCTCCAAAATCGAAGAAAATACTAATTATTAAAGACACTGATGGAGCAGAGTCATGCTGTTCTAAATGCCTGAGTGATTAAATGTTTCAGCCCATTAATATTAGCACTTCAAAATTGAAAGGAATTCAGTAATTATTCCCACAAATACTTCTCACTTGTATAATGTACTCTTGGATCTCAGATCCTTATTTTATGATGAATACACATTTCAGGTGTAGGTGTGTAAGGCAACAGTCAGCCACGGCATGTTTTGTTAGGGTAAGGCAAGACACTCTCTGCTCAACTTTTGCATAATGATTCAGCCATGTTTTTAAGTATTCAATTCTACTTGTATGACTTCTTAAAATTCCCTGCAATATAATTATACTGATGGGAATGCAGAAAGATAATTGCTTTTAGAGAAAAGTTTCTCTTTTGTTTCACATTCATCTGGCTTCCATAAATAGAGCAAGAGACCTTGAACAGTAGCAATATGCATCCATGTGTCTCTAGCTATTTATTTACAAAGCTAGACCTTGACAAATGTAATTTGTTCAATAAAATTAAAAAGGGTGCACAATAATTCATTTAGACAAAAAGGCTTGAAAAGGAACATCACTGGGAACATGCCTCATCACTGGAAGTAATCAGCTGATTCCTGAAGAACTGGCAGGTGCTCTCCTTTCAGGAAGCAGCCATGAGGTAGTACTTAGGAGAGGAAAAAAGTGAGCTAGAAATCGGAGCAATTCTTTATTCAGGCAATAATTATACAAATTAGATCCATGAGAGCCAGAGAATGACTGTGCCTTGAACCCTGTCTGTGTGCACAGAACAATGGAGAAATTAATAATTAAATCTATTACATATGCTCATAACTCAGCACAAAAGATACTCCACTAGCTCAAACAATTCTGCATTTTCATTTGAATAAAGCTTTCACACATTTTTTTCTCATTATATATGTATTATATTTTAAATTTAACAGCTTATTTTGTTGCCTTTATGTCTTGAATTAATAAGGCCACACTTTAATGCACTAACGTTGAATAGCATTAGCATGCTTTATAGTCATTACTTGAGGGGGGAGTGTGGAATCCCTAGTTTCTCAGTGGCGAAATCAATTTGCCCATAACTTCCTGTCTCTCCTAACCTCTGCTAGCGTACTTTGAAACTTTGTACTGCTTTTCTTACAAAAAAACTTGTTTATACATTCTGGCTACGGACAGGCCTTGATCTGAAGGTAACTGTTAAGTTTGCACAAACAGTTCAGGAACAGACTGAAATATTTTCAGCCAGTTAAAGCAATTAGCAGGCCAGATACACCAACCTACTGCTATTTCCCTTGCAAAAAATAATTTAGTCTCAGAAACATAGATGACTCAGTGAGTTCTGACCCAGAATTCTTTTCCCTTGGCTAGGTGGGCGGCGGGACGCAGACACCCGAGGGGCTGCCAGGGGCACAGAGCAGGGCAGGGGCTGGAGGACAGGCTGACAGGCTGACTTTACTCCTTCCCAGATGGGAAGAAGGACCGGCTGCAGCATCTGAATGCCAAGGGTGGGGGGAAGAGGAGATGAGGGAGAAAAACTACTGAGAGACTTCAGATGTAAAAATTACGGAGAGTTCCTCCCAAGTCCTGCTTCCTAGACAGAGGCTGACTCCAGGCCCTCACAGCCTGCAGCCCACGCAGGCACTCTGAAGGCTGCCAAGTCAAATAACGCTAATTGCATTACAGATGGCGAGCAGAATTTGCTGTTCTTTTCAACTTTCAACTGAAGACTTTCCATTTCCATTTTGTTTGGGGAATTTAAGCAGTGGGATTATTCCTATTGCTGGCTGGGATATGGGGCTAGAAAAGAGGTGGCAATTGCTCACTCAGACCAAAAAGAGATCTGTAAACTTGAGAAATCAGAGAGAGTAACTGAAGGACCCCACTAGAGACCGACGGCTGTGGAAAGACACCTTGGCGAAGGCTCAGTGCCCCTCACACGTGTTGGGCACTGCAGCCTGATGGGGGTGGCTGGACCCCAGGCCAGGTTGGGAGGTGGGACGCTGCTGTGGCTTACCCACAGTAGGTGCCTGTAAACTTCCACTCCCCAACATTGGGTACCCACACCCCCACTTCCTGGCCCCCCACGGGAGAAACTGTTTGGGTCAGCCTGCAGGGGACACTGCACCATGGCACAGCCCTCACCCCCCCAAATGGGAACCTGTGGCAAGTAGTGTCAAGACTGCTCCCTCGGAGCCTGTGGGAAACACCCCATCCCTGGGGTCACAGCTAGAGCTAGTGGTGCTTCCTGCAGCAGCATGCAGAGGACTGATTTTCAGCTGGTTTTAGTTAGCATTAGGGCACAAAATTCTCCTCATTCCCCAATACATTTTTGGGAAAATTAAAAAGCTTTAAAAACTTCAGTAGGAAAACCAGCTGCCCATATTTAACTTAAAAACTTTACATCATCCTATTACTTCCTCCGAAATCTGTTATACAGAACTGCATGCATGTGTCCTGTCACTTTTTGCTTAGTTGCACATCATATTCAAAATCCCAAACACTATCCAGTTGTGAAGTACTTTGCAATTAGTAGGATGGCTCCCATTATCTGGCAGCTCTAAGGAGAAATGAACTCCAATTTTTTGAGAGAAGAGAAATTCTGACAAACCTCCTATCATTCATTTAACACAGGAAGACTCCAGTCCCCTTGAAAACCTCTTCAGGATTGCTAACCACACTCCATCAGCTGCAATGTAGTATACATTTTGCACTGCAGCATCCCTTTCATCAGTGTTTCAGCTGAACAGAGATGTTATACTGTCATGCCTATTTAAGCAGAAGGGTTATCACTGTTCCTTCATACAATACTATGTAGCTCAGAAGTGCAATAAGGCGGCAAGAACTATGCCAAAAAGGTTTGGGAAAATAAACATCAATTTGCTCCTTTAAGTGTCATCATGACAAATTTACTGGGCGGCTGGTGAGATAAAATGCAGCACTTTAAATACCTAAACTAATCAATAGAGAGAACCCAGCGTGCAATCCATTTTCTGAGAAGGGCAACCTTTTAAGGTTAATTCTTCATTCATATAAATACAAAGCAAAGGTCATTATTAAACGTAAAGCAGCCCTTCGTTATACTATAATCATTAAGTTCAATTAAGGTCTGAAATTAGCCAGCAAAAAGCCACCTTACTTGAAATAAGGGCTAAGGGTGGAAGGAAGAAACAGTGCCCGTATTTATCCTGGAGGCAGTTCCCTCCAGCTCCTCGCACCGCAGCTGCTGCCGAAAGCCGCTGGCCGGGAGTGCGGGGCTGAGGGGTGCGGAGGGACCGCGAGACCACGGAGTGCGGGGGCTGCGCGGGGTGCGGGGGCTGCCGGGGACGCGGAGTCTCGGCGGCAGGCAGAGGGTGCGGAGAGTCCGCCGGGGGGTGCGGGGGCTGCGCGGGGTGCGGGGCGGCCGCCCGGCGCTGCTCCTTGGGCGCCATCTCGTGGCCGCCCCGCGTCTCCGCAGCGGGCCCCCGCACGGT